GGGGGGGGGGGGGGAAATTTGCCCGCCGGTTGGAGGGGGCCCGGCAACCGGCGACTCCCGAGCCCCCGGGGCGAGTGGGCGGCGGTCAATCGCCGGGGCTGGGATTTTGGAGCCCGGCCGGGGGCGGCGGTCATTCACACGGCGCGGCGGGCATGTCAAACATCGCCGGCGCGCGCGCCCTGCGCCTCCTTCCTCGCCACACCGGCCGGCCGTCCCCTGCCGGGAAGGTGTGCACCCACGCTGATGCCCAAGATGGCAGGCCTCGCGGGGGGGGGGGGCGGAGCCGCCGCGCGCGAATTGGCAAGCGCCTGGCCCTATCGAGCAGGTGTGCAGGAAGTGCTCGCGGGCGCGCGCTCTCCCCCCGGTGACGCCCCCCTCGGCCGCACCTCGCACCCCGGGGGGGGGGAACCCAAAGGTCAGGCTGGCGGGCCCCCGCCCCCCCCTGGCCCGCCGCGGCGTGCGCGCCTACAGGCACGGGCAAGGACCGGCGGCCCCCCCCCCCTGGCGGCGCCGCCGGCGCCCCCAGACCGAGGGAGCAACATTTCTCCGCGGGCGCGGGCGTGCGCGCGCGCGCGAGAGGCAATGACGAACACCCCATCGTGTGAGCCCGGGGCGGGGCGGGCTGGGGCGGGGGGCGATCAACGCCCAGGACGCGCGCCCGCGGCCAAGAGCGTGAACCTCGCAGAGGGCGCGCGCGCGCGGTCGCCGGGGACCGGGCCCGAGCGGGGGGGGGGGGGGCGAGGGGGGTTGTGGCGGGAGAGACGCCGCCGGCACCGGCCTGGAGCCGTGACCTCCCGGCGAGTGGACCGAGCCCCGCCCGGGCGCTGCATTCTTGTTGCGGGCCGGCGTCGGCCTCCGCCGCTCACGTTGGTCCCTTCCTGCCCCACTCTGGGCTTGAGGCGGGCGGCACTGCTGCTGCTGCTGCTGCTGCTGCTGCTGCTGCTGCTGCTGCTGCTGTTGTTATTGTTGTTGTTGTTGTTGTTGTTGTTATTGTCGCGGCGGCCGGCCTGGGGCGCGCGACCACCGCGGCGCCTGCTGCTGCCGCTGGCAATGTTGTTGTTGTTGTTGTTGTTGTTGTTGTTGTTGTTGTTGTTGCGGCGCCCCCCGCCCCCTGCGTTCTTGGGGGCATTCCCCCCGGACCAGCTGCCGCGGCAGCCGCGAGGGGCGGGCGGGCGGGACCTTCACGCTGCCGGCGGCCATCGTCCGGCCGGCGGCCGGCGGAATATAGGACGAGCATGCACACCTCGGTGCACGGGGGGGAAAATATAACGCGCCCATATAGTTTGATTATTATTTAATGACCCCGGCCGCGACACCGGCCCATCCCCCGGGGGCAGAGAAGCACACCGGCCGGCTGCTGCCTGTTCTGCCGGGCTCCTCCGCCGGGGGTGCGGCTTCTCTTCTTGTCCCGGCGCGCGCGTCGTGTTTGTGTGTTTGTGTGTGTGTGTGTGCGCGCGCGCGCCGGGCCGTCGGCGGACATGCCGGCCACCCTTGGTCTCTCGGCAGGGCGCCCGGGCGAAGGCGGGCGGTGGGGGTGCGGCCTGGCCCCCCTGGCCGAGGACGCCCCTGCCGCCTGCCCCGGGGGCCGGCGCCCGGTCTCGGCCTCGAAACTACCGGACGCCCGCCACACTGGCGCGCGCAGGGGCCGGGCTGCCTGGGGTTGCCGCCCGGGGAGACACGGGCAGGCCAACAGGGACAGGCGGGGGGAGGGGTGGGGACACCCAGGCCCGGGGCACATCATATCACCACGCACAGGGGGAGAGCCGGGGATGTGGCACGTGCGGCGGGCCCGGGCGTGCGGGCCCGGGCGTGCGCCCACGCACCCCCCCCCCCCCCGGCGTGAACCTCCAGCGCTCTCGGGCTGGGGAGGCCGGGCGGGGGCGGCCGCCGGTGGGCTTTCTCAGGCGGGTCATTTCTCGCGAGCCCCTTAATGAGGCCTCGCCGGTGGTTGTGTCGCCCGGGCCGGGAACTCCCCGCTCGCGGCCCCCCCCCTCCTCCCCTTGCCCTTGTCCGGCGGCGGCCAGTCCCGAGGCGGGGGGGTGGGGGCGGGCGAGAGACAGGCCGGGCGAGAGCCCGAGGACATGGCGTCCCCCGCCCCGGACCGGCGCCCGGACGAGGGCGGCAACCGGCGCCCGCTCACGGGCACGCCCGGGCGTGAGCGGTCCTGGGTCTGCCCTTAGGCCCAGGTCGCCAGGCGACCAGCCTCCAAAGGGGGGGAATCCCGAGTCCCCCCCCCCCGCCTTCGGGCCTTGCGGGCGGGCCTGGCTCCGGCGCCCCCCGCGCCCCGGGGGCCCGTCATCTGAGCCTCCCATGGTCGCGGCCGTGTCTCTCGCCCGGCCTCGGGTTCTGGTTGATGTGATTCGCCTGGCCGCCCTCGTCAGCAACACCGCAAGGGAAGGAGGGACCCGGCCTGCCTCCTGCGCCCGGCGCCCCCTCCCCCTCGGGCCTTGGGCTCGGGCTGGCTCTGCCCCCCTGGGTGCCGCGGCCCGGTGCGGCTGCGGGCATCCCCCTTGCACCGGCCTTCCGGCGACCCCGCTTCGCATGGGCCGCGGACGGGCGCACGCGCTCGATGCCGCGTCCGGCGGTCTCGCCCGGCCGCGGGCGCCGCCGCCGCCGCCGCGGCCCTCGTCTCAATGGGCCCCCTCCCTCCGGCCTGCTGCCGGTCTGCAGCCATTTCTCGCCAAGACCCATGGGCCGGGAGGCTCCCCACCGGAGGCGCGCATGGGGGTTCGCACGGGGTGGCGCGGCCCGGCGTGTGGTCTCGCGCCGAGAGGGGGCGGCGGCCCGTGGCCCGGCCCCCCCTCCCCCCCCCCCGCCGTGGGTGCCGGCACACGGGCGGGCGGGACTTTGCGATCCCCGGGCGGCGCACGTGCATCGTCAATGGTCACGGATCCTTAACCCGGGCGCGCCCGGTGGATGGTCGCCGTGCGCGCGCGCGCCTCACCACGCCCGGCCATTCTTGCATGCTATCGTTGGCTGGGCTCGTTCTTGTTTCCCCCGCCTGCGCGTTCTTCCCCCCCCCCCCCCCCCGCCAAGGGCGCGGGTGCTGCCGGTGTTTTTTTTTTCCCCCCCATCCCGCCAAGAGGGCATTACACTGCCTGCCTGCCTGCCTGCCTGGGCTGACATGTGCCCCATCTTCGGCTGTGGCGGTTGTTATTTCTCGCGCTCTCGCGCTGCCCCCGCTCTTGTTGCCCCTCTGCCGCCCCGCCGATTCCCCTCGCATGCTTCTCCGTGAGTGTATGTATTTATTCCGCCGGCTCACATGCGCACATGTGTACGGGACACACACACACACAGGCACATGTATATACATATATTACCGGCCGTGCCCTTTGCTTGTGGCGAAGCGTGAAAGTAGATGCGCACGCGCGCCTGGCGCATGGACGAGGCAGGCGGGGGGAGGCACACACACACACACGGAGAGGGGGAGAAACATGCCACAGGCAGTTCCCTCGCTCCGCACATGTGTACCGGAGCATGGCCGCCCCCCACCCTCCCTGTCCGCACCCGCCAGCAAGGCAGACGCAAAGGAGGATGGAAAGAGGACGTGAGAGAAAGAGAGACAGAGATAGGAGGGGAGGGGGGGGGGGGGGAGCGGGCAGGGCGAGCGCACAGCGGGATCGTCCTGGCGCCCTCTCACATGCGTCCTCTTTCTTTCTCTCTCTCTCTCTCTCTCTCTCTCCGTGCCGCTCACTCACTCGCGCGCTCCCTTTCTCTATGCATGGCGCTGGTTGAGCACAACATGCCAGCCAGCCAGCAGGAGCCAGGACCCGATGGAGCTCTGGACGGCGGACTCGGCACGCCAGCGGACTCGGCGCCGGTCGCGGAACTCCTTCCGTCGGGAGATGGCCGCCGGCAGGCGCTCGCCCCACTGGTCGATGACGGCCACGCCATTGACTTCGAGCTCGTAGCGCAGGCGCAGGCGCGTGCGCAGGACAATGTGCGTGGCCATGTCGAAGGTGTGTTCCACGGCTTCGGGCAGCGACGCCGAGAACAGGAAGAGTGACCGGGCCACGGCGCGATCCGGCGTGCGAGGGACCTCCTGCGGTGGCGTGATGTGTGCAAGGACAGGGGAGGGGGGGGGGGGCGGGGGGAGGTTAGGTGCTTGCACAGACATAGACACCCACCCGCCGGCGCGGAGGAGGGTGCTGGACAGGGGACTGGGCGGCGAGAAATCAAAAGCAGGGGGGGGGGGACCGAGGGCCGGGCGCGCACCTGCACCGAGATGAAGCCCTCGACCATCATTTGGAAGAGGATGGCTCGCGCATCGGCCGATGGGATGAGCACCGTCTGGGCGATCTGTGCATGTCCAGGGGATTGGCCATGTTCCGGCATGGGGCAGCAAAGCAAGAGCGGAGCCATGTCCGCCGGGGGGGGGGGGGGTCAGAGGCAGAGAGGGAGGGAGGGAGGGGAGCGAGCATTGTCCTTCGAGGCACGCACCTCCTTCTGTTCCAAGTAGTGCTTGTCCAGCAGCAGGCGGAAGATCCGGGCCGACGCGTCGCCCAGGCGTTCCCGCAGGATGGCCGTGATCTCGGCCAGCTGGAGACCGGCCACCGCGGCACGAATGTCCACCCAATACGTGCCGCCGCCGAGGTCCCCTCGGCGTCGGAGGAAGCGCATGGGGTTCGGATGCGCCAGCAGGGCCAGCAGCGTGTCCAGGTCGGCGGCCGGGTCGTGGCCGGCCTCGGATTTGATGAAGCTGCCATGCTTGTTGGCGCCGCCCTGTTGCATGGCGAGTTCCAGCATGTTACGGGTGACGACGGCTGGGTGGTACACGGGGTTCCAAGCGGCAGGTTCCATGTGGGGGTGGGGTAAAAGGAGAGAGAGAGAGAGGGACGAGTGAGCGGACGAAAGGGAGGAAGAAGCAGGGAGGAGACAAGCAATGAAGGGGAAAGAGTGGCGAGGAAGGCAAAGGAGACAGAGCCCCATGCGCACGGCTCTTGATGCGAGTGACCGGGTCCGAGCAGCGAGCAGCCATCTCCGGTTCCACCAGCGACAGGATGGTCTGGAGGAGAGCCCCGGCGGCCGGGGCCACACGCTGGCGGGCCGCCTCAATGAGGGCCTCATGCCGGAGATGCATCATGAAGCGATCGGTGTTGAGAGAAAGAAAAATCTGCCACCCGCATGTGTGCATGCGCGCCGGCGGCGGCGGCGGCGTCGGCGACGTCGGCGGCGTCGGCCCGGCAGGGGGATATGCTCAATGGTCAGGGCGCGGGTGAAGGCCGACAGGGCAACTCTCCCCCCCCCCCCCCCCCCCCCCCCCCCCCCCCCCCTCCCCCTCCGGCCCCGGCGGGCGACACGCAGACACACGCACCAGCTTGTCCTCGTTGGCCGAGGTCGAGGCAGCCGCGAGGGAACCCCCAGCGCCGGAGTTCTCTTCGCGCGCGCGGCGCTCGGCATCCACGCCGGACAGGCCGCGCGCTGGGTTGGACCGGAGATCGGCCACGGTCAGCGGCCGAGCCAGGCTGGCGGCACCCTGGGCCGAGTACTCGGCCCGGCGGTTGGCCGCCACAAGGGCCTCGTCCAAGGTGGCCCGGTCGCGCTTCAGGCGATTGGTCGGCAAGGAGTCGGCATTAGCCAGGGCCTCGGCCACGTCCATGCCGGTGGCCCGAGTGATGATGAGCTCCGGCGTGGGGCCGGCGGCCGATGGCAGGGTGAAGGGGACGACCCAGCGGCCAGCCAGCAGCCGGTCCAGGGTCTCGTCGAACATCAGCCGAGTGACTGATGGTGTGTGTGTGTGTGTGTGTGTGTGCGCGTGTGTGTGTGTGTGCGCGCGTGTGTGTGTGTGTGTGTGTGTGTGTGTGTATGTGTGTGTGCGTGCGTGCGTGTGTGTGTGTGTGCGTGTGTGTGCGCGCGCGCCCGCGTGTATGAACAGGCGTTTGCGCGGATGCAAGTGCAAGTCCAGGTCCGTGTGTCAGTATCGGGCGCCGTGTGAGTGTGCCGTGGCCCGGCAGTCATGGCCCGACAGGGGGGGTGGCAGCGAGGCACGCGCAATCAACGCGAGGCGGGCGACGAGGAGCGGGGACGCACAGGTCGGGGTCGGGCGCTCTGGCGCACCGGGAAGCGGAACCTCGGCATCGGCGTCGGTCCCGAGCACCTCGGCCACCAGATCATTGTATGACAGGCGCCCGTGGCGAACCAGGGCCCACACCGCGGCCAGGCCCTCGGCCAGGAAGAGACGCTCAGCCACCTCCATGAAGCGCGGCAGGGCCAGGCGCACCAGCAGGCGCTCCGGCAGCAGGGTATAGTAGGTGATGATGCGCCCGGCGGCCAGGGCGGCCGCGGCGTCCGGGTCATTGTCATCGGCCGCCACAATCCCATGGTGCACCAGGACAAATAGACAGGCCGCCAGCTTGCGGCTGGGGAGGCCGGTTAGCCGGACCAGCGGGGCCAGGGCTGACCGGCCATGTGAGAAGAGGGCATACGCCACATTCTGCGGGACGACCGCCGGGGCCCGGCGGCACCGGGGACAGGGGATGGGGGGAAAAGAGGGCGGGCTTCCGGTCAATGGACAGACAGAGCATGCGGGGCATCGGGGCACGGGTGGCGGGGGG